GCCTTAATAAAATTTATAATATACATTTTATATCATTATATTTATACATTTATACATGGATTATAATTATATTTATATAAAATATTTAATTAATAAATCCAGCATTTTTATATTTATATAAATTTAAAAATAGTTTTTTTTATCATCACAGAAGTGTGCAAAGAAGATTCAACAAAGCATGTGAAAGGGAAGCAATAGGGGGTTAGACCTTGGAATGGAACTCCTTATCGAATCTAATGTCTTTTGTGATTGGAAGTTGTGGAAGTTAATTTTTGCTTTTTCTTTTTTTTTTTTTCTTCTCTCCCCGAAAATGCCACGCAATAACGTACCCAATTTAAATGCAATTGCTTAGGAGATGGATAGATATCTGCGTTAATTGTCATCAACCATCCACGCACCAATATCAAATGGTCCCCACGGGCTCGGCCCCTCTATGCGTATGATCCCTTGAGCCACAGTTTCGAAGTTGTCTCACATGAAGGTTCCTTTTCGTTTGATTATGCATTAAAAAAAAGGTAAAAGTAAATATATCTTGAATTTTCATAAATTGACTTAAATATATTCTGATTTTTTTAAATAGACTTAAATATATTCTGATTTTCATTAGTAAAAATTTCATTTTGTTTATATGTAACGTTATCTCACCCGTTTAAATTTTGAAAAACCCTATTTTGCCCTTTTTTCTTGAATTGAAGCAGATCATTTGTACATTGACAGAGACGCTGCCAAAATGCTCCCTTGCTGGTACGTTTCCTCCTCTACTATTCTTGCAATGCTGTCGTTGGTGTCCCATTGAATTAAGGAATTATTTTACAATGGATCATGGTGGATTGAACATTTTACGAAAGTATTTTTATCAAATTACTTTTATGAAAACACTTTTATAAAAATAATTTTATTGAAGTATTTTTATAAAAACACTTTTACAAAAGTAATTTTATAAAAGTATTTTATAGAAATAATTTTATAAAAGTATTTTATAGAAATTTCTATAAAATTTCTATAAAAGTATTTTATAGAAATAATTTTATAAAAATACTTCAATAAAAATAATTTTATTGAAGTATTTTTATAAAACACTTTTATAAAAGTAATTTTATAAAAGTATTTTATAGAAATACTTTTATACTTTTATAAAAACACCTCTATCAAAAGTATTTTTATTCATTCACTTTGGATTAGATGTTTTAAAAATTTGAAAGAAAATGATGGACAAAAGAATCACAATTGCTTATTTAAAAACTTATTGGAGAAAAAGACCACCAAACACCCAATATAAAATAAGTACTTATTTTTTATAATAAGCACTTGAAAAAGTTGGGTGCCAAATACAAATAAGTGCTTATTTAAATAAACAATTATTTTTAAGTACTTATTCAATAAGTAGTTATTTTTAATATAAGCACTCCCAAACATGGCCTTATTGCAATGAGTTCTTATCTTATTATTTTCTTTCATATCCTTTGAATTGGTATAAGGCAACAATTGACCCTACATTGGATGCATTTCGTTCATCTCTTGATATCAGTTTATATCAGAACTCTCTCTCTCTCTCTCTCAACTCCCCCATTAAGACAAGAAATAAGCTGCAAACAGCTTGGGCTGCCACTGTTATCAATATCATGGAGGCTCAAGATTATTCATTGAATGCCTGAAAGGAAGGCCGAACCTCCCTGGAGAATCAGAAATATCATAGAGAAATGCTTCAACATATGTGGGATGCTCATGTGGAATATTGTCTACTCTCACATCTCTAGAGAAGCTAATCAAGTAACAAATTATTTGGCTAATTCCAGAGAGAGAGAGGGATGCGTCTTTGAAAATAAAGAAAATAATTTATAAGATTACGTTCTGTTAAGATTGAAATGGAAAAGGTTTTCCGAGGCAACTTCCCCCCTTATTATTCAGCAGTTGGAAAGGAGAAATTGTGATCTTCCTACCTACAATTAAAAAGAGTCACTTATCATAAATTTCCCTTTTTAATTAGGCAACTCCCAGAGCAAAAAAACAAAGGGAATGCATTGTTTGGCCTGAGAACCACTTAGGCAGAATTTGGCATTTCTTATTTTAAGGACTTATCTCCATTTTGCAGTTAAAATGCCCTTAATAAAAGTTGAGTTTTTCACTGCAAAAAGGAAATAAGTCCTTAAAATAAGGAATGTCAAATGCAGCCTTAGTGCCTTGGTGGCACACTAGAAGTACATTTTACAATTGAAAGTAACACTTCTAAGAAAAATCAGTTTATTAATTTTCATTTTAAAAGGGAGAAAAAAGGTCTTCCATTTATTACAGTGGTATTTTCTTCAAGATTTGACTAGTCTACTAATAGGGCTGTTCATAAGAATGCCCAACCCGACCAAACCGACCAATCCGGACCGATCCAATCCAAGTTGGCCGGGTTTTCATCTGTACTGGTCGGTTTTGGGTTGGGCACATACATAAACCGAAATCTCGGGTCGATTTTGGTTTTCTTGTGTGAAAACTGAAACCAACCCGACCCAAACCGAACTAGTCTTCTACTAGTTTGGTAGTTCCTACTTCCTAGTTTGAGTAGTTTCCTAATTCCTAATAGTCTTCTACTTTTAGATTTCTACTAGAACTAGAACTCTAGAAGGCCCATTAGACAATTACAATTAGAATTCAACTAGATGTCATTTTTTAGTTTTTTACCTAGATTAGAATTTAGAAGGTTCTAAATTTTTATTTTATTGATTTACCTACTTAGATTTACCTAGTTTTTTACTCTAGAAGGCCCATTATTGACACTTGTTTTTACATGAAGAATTTTTTAATTTTATTCTTTACCTGAATTAAATTTAGATTTATCTTAGACTCTTGAATATCAAATTATCAACTAATTCAGATTTTATTTGGCTTTGTACAGGAGCAAAACCGAAACCGACCCAACCCAACTCAAACCGACCAGGTCGGTTTGGCTTGTCAGTGGGTCGGTTTCGGTTCCCACCTTAGCTAACCCGACCAGGTCGGGCCGGTTGGGAAAATCCCAAGAAACTGACCCAACCCGACCCGTGAACACCCCTATCTACTAAGAATAAGAATGTGTTATTCTCATGAATAAAATTGCCCTCTTGTTTTTGTTCTTATTTGTGTCTTTGGGTGGGGATTTAAATTAGGGCTTATTTCTCTTAAATCCTTCTCCACCGTCCAAACAACTAGTTATATTGTTTCTCGTTTTCTTTGTCAAATTTCGGAAGGAACCAAACAGAGCCTCTTTCCCTAACAAAATTTTTGAAACAACCAAACAGAATCTAAGGTTCTGTTTGGTTTACATATCAGAGGGGCAGAAAGCAGTTTGGGCTTTAAAAGGACAAAAAAATAAAACATAATTTTTTTTTTATTTTACATATTGAATAACAGCCTACCCCTTTTGTGCGGAAACAAACGGAGCCTCAAAAAGAAAGAACCAGACTCTAGGAACTGCAATTGGTTAGGTTGATTGGATGATTCATTCTACATTTCCACCTTATGTCTATCATAGTATGGTTCCAATGTGTGGGTCACACTGAAATATAAAAAATCAAATTATTTTGCATAGGCTCCCACCTTGCAAATTGACACCTTAGACCTTAGTCCTTACGCATCAATTTGGCAAGTTGGTCTGTGTGTTCAAAAGTTATGTTGTATTCTATGGCTTTGGTGAGAGAAAGATTCCAAGCACAAGAGAAACTCAAGTAGAAAAAAAAATAATATCATTATTGTTATGAAACAAGCTAAATTTATTACTATCATCATCATCATCGTCACCATCATCTAATCTCTAAATATTTCAACTATATGGGGTTTCCAATTTATTCAATGTCTTATTTGGGGCCTACCATCGGTTTAGTAATTCTTGAAGCATCTAGACTGGTTTTTTTTAGTAGAAGACTAAATTATGTTTGATTTTGTAAATAAAATTCAATTTGAAAAAAATACAAATACACACAAAATAATACAAAATACATGTTTTTGCACTCTCTTTCCAAACAGAACCTAAACAATATGGCCATGTTTAGTACCAAAAATTTTTCAGGTAATGATTATGCCTTAGAATTCGGTGAAGTTATTTTGGGTTGTGTGCAAATTTTGAATTGATATTTAGTGCCGTCACATAAGCAAAAGGAGAAAATGTTGTCTCCATTGCAAGAAAGTCACATTGATGTTTTCTTCAAAAATAACTCTTACAAAATCAAAGATGCTTAAGCTATATTTGGTTTGAAGAAAAAAAGTAGGGAAAAGAAGGGAAGGATACGAAAACCTAAAAAAGTGAGAAAAATGAAAAAACGAATATAACACTAACATGGTGGAAATACATTGGAGAAATGGTGTTGATACGAAACACATGCATACTTTATCAAGAAGATGGGATGCATGTATACCAATGTAACGTTTTAATGTCTTTGTGCTGGATAATTTTTTGTTCAAATTAGAAAGTAATTTAGATTATATTTGATTTTTGGTTAAAGGATACGAACTAACTTTCTAACCTTAATTAAAAAACAACTTTCATATTATTAGAGTCGGACCCATGTGTTTGAACAAGAAGCCTTATACAAACTAGTTTGGTGGTAGATGCAAGAGATATGGGTAGAATGGGTTAGTGGTTCCGGCTGTTCCTTTCAATTAATTTAAAAAAATTAAATAAAAAATATTAAAGTAAGGAAATGATAAAAAACTGTTATTTGGATTGACGGTTTGACCATTTGGATCAGTAAGTTATTAATTAAATCGACGATTTTTGATAAAAGACTGGGTCAGGAGTGAAACAGAACTGATTGTCTGAACAGTTCTGAACCAAATGGTTCAACCATCCAGATTAACGACAATTCAAAAACCATGATTCGAATCAACTGACCACTGGGTTAATTAGCAAAACTGTGACCTAGTTCTATATCCGGTCTGAGCCTTACATTCAACATTCAATCAATGGACTGAAACGTTGGCATGACACCCTCAGTATATTGTACCTGAAGAAAGAAAAGAAAAAAAAAAAAAAGAGAGAGAGAATATCATATAGCATAACCAGATTATATATGATAATACATTAAGGAAGCCATTCATAACCATCAATAAAACTAAGGGAAATGAATGGTTTGGCCTCTTGTTGTGTGAGTTCTCTCGACCATGATACTCTCCCGCCGAAATCAGCACCTGGTCCAGAGCACTTGTATTGTCCATAAAACACAGTCCTAGTGCACACAAGATTCATGTAGAATCAGAATGTCAGCATAAAATGAACTTATCCCAGAAGCAAAATATCAGGCATTTAGCACACTTAGGCAAGGGTCATGGTTGTGCAGTTAAAATTTTGCATCCGATTCACTTATCATAGTCCTATATCGACTATGGACTATGGACTATGTGTTTGTTATCATAGACTCCACCTCAGAAATCTGAAATTACAGCTCCCTCCTATTCTATTAGTAATCCCGTGCATCCTGTATGTGGATTTGGCATTTATCCACAGTTAGGATTCATCCCACCTGTATGATGGGGCTCAGATTTATAATATTAACAAGAATTGCCCACATCCTTTACTTGACTCTGTTTTTGAACATTTGGGCTGTGGGAGTCAAAATTGAGCCAAAACATGTTTTGAGCATTTGATAAGAGTTAACTTTTATAAACATTATTAATCTAAACCCAAACCCATTTTAAGCCCTAAAATACAAAGGTTAGGGTCTGTTTGGGATGGCTAATGCTTCGGTTGAGTTATTGAGCTAAGGTAAAAGCCACCATGGGAAAGCCCTCCAAAAATTGGGGCTCTTGTGCTTTTGGGTTTTAAAAGCTAAAATCCGGATGCTTATGCAAGCACAACCTAAATTCTACGAACTCAAGAAGCAGCACACAATTTGTCAAACTGAACAAACATCTACTTTTCACCACACCCCTACTCGGGGGGTGGGGGGATCAAATTCTTTGGAATCGAAATCAGAATAGTCTATTTGGTTCAGACATGAATTGGAATAACCTGAAATGGGATTTCATTTCCAAAGAGAAAAACAGGAATGAGAATGAAATTCCTATTTCACCGGTACCAAACAGTTGGAATTGGAATTGAAATGCCCATTAGAATTCCACTATTCCTGTACCAAACAAGGCCCCAGATTTTCAAGTTCTGCGATTGAATCTCAGAATAATAAGGAGGTTTAATCGAGGCCTAGTCAATCAGCCAAATCGAATGGGCTAGGCCTAACCACATACTAGTGCCGGACTATGTGACACATGCAGAAAGATCTAGGTCATCAGTCGTCACTCATTATAACATGAGACCCAACCCCATCTTGGCGAGTCTAGATCTGCTCCTCATGAAGTGCATCTCACACCGATCTTACAACATGTCCTGGCCTTGGGAAATATCTCTCCTACTTGTATTTATTATTTATGGGAAAATGTTTCCAATACAGGTGGAATGTGGGTGTAAGGTGAGTGTGGAGGTTGGATCTGCTCCTCACACCTGGCGCCTCCTAGGCGATTCACACGCACATCCTATCATGTATTGGGAACATCTCCCATATTTATTAATTATTATTCATGGGAGATATTTTCAATGCACGGTGGATGTGAATGTGAGGCGTCCAGTTGTGAGGAACAGATCCCAATTCCACCTCAGCACCTTTCTTCATTGACCAATGACCCTTACTCGGAGAGAGAGAGAGAGAGGTACATACAATTCCCTGTTCTTATCTCCCCAGTTATACCATCCCTTGGGGGTGATGATCTTGTCCATATAAGTGTAGGCAAAGACCACCCTAGAGAAGCTTCCCCACGCCCTCCCCAAGTACAAGGCTCCCGACCCCGTCACCCTGCAGTTCACAAACGAGAATCCCGTCTCCTCTAGCATGTTGTCCCTCTTCTGAGCGGTCAGCGCTCCATAGCTGTTTGTTATGGCATGCAAGTGACACCCCTCATACAGCGACAGCCCATCTCCAAATATGAAGTCCACCGACCCTTGGATATAACAGTCCTTGAAGTAGTGTCTCCCTATATGGTCATATAATGTGTCTTGCGCCCCTATGAAGTTACACGAGAAGAAGGCCGCTGTATCACCAGATATCCTCAGCGCCACCGCTTGCTTTCCAAGTGCTCCTGAAGGTGGCAATGGCGCTGTATTCTGCATCCAAATTTGTACTCTCAAGTCATTATCTATTTACTTTTACTCTGTATGTAGTGGTTATTTATTGGAGCCCATTTGGTTTGCAGTCGAAATCCATAGTCTGTTTGATTCAAAAAAGAATGAGAATGAGAATCAACAGGAATGGGATATCATTTCTAAGAAAGGGGCAGGGAATGCCAGAATGGCCATTCTCTCAAATGGGGAATGTCATTCTAATGGAAATGGAATTTCATTTCTGTTTAATCAAACAGTTGGAATCAGAATAACCATTTCAGACCCCTATTCCCGCCAACTAAAAGGGACTATACAATATAAAACAGCCATTCAATTCCATTAGCTTAATCATATCTGGTCATTCTTGTTTCCTAACCTACTCCCCACAGTTGAGCAGTGACCTAGGCACTGTTTGGAAACTTTTTGGGTGTATGCTTTTTTTTTTTCCAGATTTTGCAATGGGCCTGCTCAACCACAGTCCATTAATTACACAATGTGCCAGTTTGTGTCAGAGTTCTATTCAGGCCCAACTAAGCATTCACTTTCAGGGCCGGCCACGGCCTACCTTTGCTCTATAGACTACTTGTAAAAAAATCCTACCTAGATTCCTACTTCATTGAGTTTGGGCCCAATTGATACCTGGGTATCGAATCAAATCATATTATGGTTTGCTACAGGCGGATGAGATGATATGCACAAAGTGATTTTCTCTTCCATTGTAAGTTTATTCTATTAGAGCCAGCGCTAATCAGCAGCATAAATTGATTCGAAGAAGCAAAAGCAAGAAGTGTTTATCCAAGGAGTTTGTGCTGACCTTGAAGGTGATGTTCTTGGCGACAAAGTAAGGAGAATTAATAGCAAATGTCGCAGAAGCAAAGGTTCCCAATGGCCGCCGGTCGGACCCCATTCGATCTGCGGTGTCGCCCCACTGCAGAATCGTCCTGTCTGCACCGGCACCCTCTAAGGTAACAAATGCCTTCGTTGCAGGAATATCAACCTTCTCCCTACATTCCCATCAAGTCATTAAGTGGAGATTTATCCCTGAACAGAAACCCTGTAAATAACAAAACGAGCAAAGGTAGGTAAACTCATTCTTACCTGTAAATTCCTGCGTGAATTTTGATAAGCACTCTACATTGATTGACAATTGGTAAAGAATCAACCGCCTTTTGAACCGTAACAAAATCTCCCTTTTTTGGGTCTTTGTCTACTGTTATTGTCAAGCAAGGCTTGAGCTTATTCTCTGCTTTGTTGTACAAAGAGTGGGTCAATGAACCCATCTGTTTGATCCAGTTCAGGTAGCCTTCCTGAATTATCACTGTCCCGTTGGTCCCATTCAGACTAACAGATGAAGGCGCACCTTCAAACAGCAAGATAAGCAGAAACAGACTCGATAACATAGGAAGACGAATATCGACTCGAAGTTTTGAAAATGCAGGACGTGAAACAAGTCCGGTGATGACTGAAGAGGAGGAAAAAGAGAAGAGAGAGTTGGGATTAGCAGCCATAGAGTTTCGGGTTCTACCTGTATGTGAGTTGTTACGGTTGAGAAGGGGAGAAGTGTGGCTGTTGAAACTTGAAAGCAACAAATCTATGGGTGTGGGAGCAGCAACAGTGACTGTGTGAGTTGAGAAAGGTAAAGTAAAAAGAAAAGCTGGTGAAACGAGAGGTTCAAGAACAGAGAAAGGGAATGAAGGGAGCTGGGGTGAAGAATCCAGCAGGAGTGGCCGTATTTAGTTATCTCTTCCTGCAAGGTTACAATACAGCCATTTGACCATTCTGTCAAACTGTTTATTTGTGTTTGTTTGGTTTTGTGGTCATGGGTGTAAGCACTATTTTAGATGAGCTGGTCCACAACTACAGACAACTTCACTATATTATATTAGATAGTGCACTCTGCAGAGCGTGCCTATGTCCGCCTATGCATAATACCAGAGAAAGATACCTTAGTTCATACTTAGTTTAATGGTCCAAATCTGGAATTGTGGTGTGTTGTCCCAGTCTAACCTGGCCTGGTTCTTAAGGTAATAAATAAATAAGGCCCTGTTTGGTTTGCGGGAATAGGGTCTGGAATCACAACCTTTTTTCGCCCAACTGTTTGGTTGGATGGAATCGGAATCTCATTTTCATTCCTGCTGAAATGACATTCCCCCATTTGAGGGAATAGCCATTCCCTGCCCCTCCCTTGAGAATGAAATCCCATTTCTGTTTATTTTAATTCTCATTCCCATTCCTGTCTGAATTAAACAAACTATGGGAATGAACCATTCTGATTCCAATTCCAACTATAAACCAAACAGACCCTAAATAATGTCACATTTTTCTTTCTTTTAATTAGGGTTTCACACTAATGGCAACCCTTTCTTAGATTATATGGCAGGATCCGGATTTTGCTCATGAACTCTATTTGTTTGCATTGCAAATTCACTTGCACTGGTACAAAAATAAACCTAATTTTGCTCTCAACCCATTTGAACTCTCATACTTTTATTTCAATGCAAATGAAATTGCACTACAAACAATCAAATATTGAGGGGAATTTTATTTTAATAGGTTGAATACGGCCAGGTAAAGCTGTGCCAACTCAACTTTCAACCAAGCCTCAAACATGAAAGTGTGGACCATCAGGCTTGGCCTTGAATATCAAATTCTATAAAGTTAAAGCTCCAACCAGTTCTAAAATTGGCTTCCAGCCTACCATAAACTTTAATACTTGAATGTGTATATTAATATATATATATATATATATATATATTAAATTAACTAAGAAGGAATAGGAATACTGGATCAATAGGTAAGGCCGGCAGACGGCAGAATATTCATATATTGATTGTATAATTCAATAATTTATTATTATAAGGTTGTTACTTCTCTTCATTTCCCAATCTATTTTATTTTATTGTTAAAACTCAAAAGTGAATAAAATAAAAAGTTGGGAATGTTTGGTGAGAGGCGTGAGTAGAAGATGACAAAGAAGATATGAACCATGAAGTACCATGATGAGGCTCGCTGGATACATGGATTTGGCAAAAAGGAGATTGTGTCTGTACCAGCACCATTCTTGTGGAGTGGAGAGAGACCAACCAGGCAAATCGGACGCATCTCTTCGGGTATGACAAGAAGCTACACCAATTCCTTTTATTCGTTGGGCCCACAGGGGTGGAGTGAAGATGATCAACTCTGCAAACGGCCATTTGGGTTCTTAAGTTTCCCAATTTTAATTTATTTGGTTCGTTTGAGCCCTTTTCAGCGTGGCAATAGCAAACTTTAGTCCATAAAATCAGGATTGCAATATGTATACAATTAAAGAGCTGTGCCCAAAAGAATGTAAATCCGTTGTAGTCTAGTTGGTTAGGATACTCGGCTCTCACCCGAGAGACCCGGGTTCGAGTCTTGGCAACGGAAGTGTAATATTTTGATTTTTAACTTCTTTAGGATTAATATTAGTCAACATTTAATTGTTTATTTATTTATTTTTTATTTTTCTCTTTGGAATGGACTGAATAAATTGGATCTGATTAAATAAATAACTAATATATATATATATATATATATATATATATATATATATATGAGCATTAAATAAATGAGTTCAAGTCAGTCCCCCACAAGATAGTTCTCCACAATGTCCCACAACATATTCTTGCCGTGATTTGAGAACATCTCCTGATTTTAGGGCTGTTCATAAGAAGACCCAACCCGACCAAACCGACCAACCCGGACCGAACCAACCTGAATCGGTCGGGTTTTCTTCAGCACTGGTCGGTTTCGGGTTGTAAAAAATCATAAACCGATGGTTCAGATCGGTTTCGATTTTCATATTAGTATTTACAACCTACTTAGTTCCTACTTAACTAAGTTGTGTCTATCATAGTTACAACCTAACTTAATTTGTAGTCTTCTAGTTAGGAATGACATTAATGGCAAGTATTGTAAGACAATTAGACAAGGAATTTTTTTGAAAAAATTTAAAGAAAAGAATCAAAGGATCCTAGTTTTTATGGTCTTTTACACCAAATAGGCAACCAATTACAATTAGAATTAGGTGTCCTTTTTTACTTAGATTAGAAGGTTTCTTGAAATATACAAATTTCAGTCTTCTTTCTCTAATAGAATTAGGTGTCATTTTTTACATCAAATTTCAGTCTTCTTTCTCCAATCTACCAATTTATTACCATGGTTGAACTTAGAATTGAAACCAACCCAAATGGACCCAACTTGACTCAAATCGACCAGGTCGATTTTGCTTAACACAGGGTCGGTTTCGGTTTCAATTTCAAGTAACCCGACCAAGTCGAGTCGGTTGAAAAAATCTCAGTAAACCGACCCAACCCGACCCGTGAATAGCCCTATCCTGATTGAAGTGAGCCCCTCTTCTTTATGAAAGGTAATTAGAGTCAACCAAATATCTAGTCAATCAAAGCACATTTTCCCATATATGGAAACTGGTCAATGATTGAAGTGAGAATAGTGGATGATAAATTATTCTCTCCAAAAATGACAATAATTACAATATTTCACTCTCTAAAAAGGGTAAGAAAAGCTAATTAAATCCTTAATCAAGGGGACTAAGAGATGAGACTAAGAAATCTATAAATACGGATTCCCATCAAGAGGGAGGGACTTTTGAAGTCAAGGATAAACTAAGTATATGTGTGGTTCCGTGGGAGTTTCTTGAGTTTAGATAAATGTTTATCCAAAAAAATGATACTTTAAACGATTTTTGCCTTTTCTATTTGGTTGGATGTTTTATGGGCATTTTAACCCCATCAAGTTGTTTTTCACCTCAGATAAAGAGTGCCACATCAACATTTAATTTTAGGAAATGCCTAGGCAAAGCATTGGGGAAAACATGAATTAGATGTTTCCCTAAATGCATCATGCATATAAATCAAAGCGTTTCAATTTTCTAGTGTTTATTTGATAAATGATAAAACCAAACAGTGGTTTCATATGCAATAAACACCAACACCTATGTGGTGCTGATGTGGCAATGTTTTTTCAATAAACGCCCACATAACTAAACATATACTAAATAAAGTAAGAAAGCTCTTGGAGAAGGAGGAAACACATCCACAACTTTATGAAGAGTAAAGTTACAATACTCTTGGAGTTCTTGTAGAATCCTTCTTTTGGTCAAGCTTTCAAAGCCCAATTGAAGGAAGTAATTTCCATCATTTTTTGAAATACAGGAGCATGCCATTTGACCCTTGGCTTCAATTCAATCCAAATTGTTAAGTTGCAAGAAATACATCACCAAGAGAGAATTAGAGGTTCTATCTCTTTTGTAAGAGAGTTTCAAATCGAAAGAGTTTGTATCCCATTTATTTCAAATATATAAAAAGTTTTTCTTGTATTTGGATTTATATAAGAAATTTGTGTTAACATATATATACATTACATGTATGATGTATGTATGTATGTTTAAATACCGTTTGTTTCTAAAACATGATAATGTCATTTCATATACAACACTACTAAATTGAATTGACCTCAACCCATAATTTTATAGGAAATAAGAAACATTTGGTGAACAGAAGTAGAGGAATCTGGCTAATTTGAATAACCTAATGAGCTATCAATGGTTAATTTGAAACACTACAAATAGGTATGTACCCCCTGAATTGTCCATATCGGAGTGACACACATCCAAACCGTATTGTATCGTATCGGTCAATATATGCCGATACGGATGGATACACAAGTGGTTCACGTTTTCACACTTTTACACGTTTAATTTAAAAAAATTGTAACTGATGCAATTTGAACCCAAGTCACTCTGCACATCAAACTTCACGTTTGTATGCCACTAAGACAACCATTAGCTTTGGTTAGTAAGTGAAATAAAATAATTCTTTATTTAATGCCTATATGTAGTCCTAACAAATAACATATATTGTTCAACAATTCTAAGTAAAGATTAAATAATATTATTCAAAATTAATATTTTATCAACTAATGGAGTAAATAATTATCTCAAATCCACATTCATATCAAAAAGAGGATTTTAATCTCAAAAAAGTTATACAAATAAAAATATTAGTAATAGAATAATAATTTTAGTACTTAAAATTTATAAATTTGAATGTGAAATGTAGCTTAAAATTTTTATAAATTATTAATTAATATTTTAATTTTAATTAAATAAAAATATATTTATTATTTACAAAAATGATAATTTATTTCATAAAAATATTAATAATAATATAATAATTTTAGTAATTAAAGATTATGAATTTGCATACGATATGTATCTTAGAAATTTTAGTATCTTTGAGATGGTTTACGTTAAGATTATATGTTTTTATAAATTATTAATTGATATTTTAATTACATTTTATAATAACATTTTTATTGTTTACAAAAATAAAAATATTGTTTACCAAACATTTGAGAATTAATTTTTAGTTGATTATTTTGTTAATGTTAAAATGTAAAGATATAAAAATAAAAATAATTGATATAATAATATAATAATAATTGCATATAATAGTTGCTTGTGCTTTTGTGACATGAACTTCAATTGAAAATAAATAATAGCTTTGTACATGTATTAATTTGTGAAAATTTATATAATATACTTTAGGACTCTAGTTGTCAATAAAAATTGTATGATTTCTATGCATCCAGCTATATTAATTGTAATATATTTATTTACAAATACCATTAGAATATACATTTCCTATGCATTTATACATTTAGCTATTTTAACCTTAAATGTAATGTTGTTAATATATTCAAGGAATTTATATGCATTCTCTAATGTATCCAAGTGTCTTCATGTTTTTTCATCTGTATCTATACATTTCCAAAGTGTATATGTATCCGTATTCATATCTGTATCCAAGTGGTCGAATACGATACTCAATACCAATACTTTAATCATTGAATTTATTCTAGTTTTTATGGTCTTTTGTAAGATCTATGTAAAATATTGCAACCAAAATAGTCTTTGGTCTTCTAAGATCTATTTGCAAAAGTTCACCCTGTCTTTTAACCATCAGATCTTTTGGAAAAGACTTGCCAAACAGGCACTTAGTGATGAATAATGTAGACTTTAAAATCTTATTGGGTTCCTTTCATAGAGTGTTATCTTCTGAAAATCTTCCCTGATAACAATAAAGACTGAAGATAAATTGAAGTATTAAGGAGAACAAAAAAAGTTGAAAGTAAAGTCAAGAATATGCAGTTTATGAAACTTACCAGCCTGTGCAATGGGATTATAAGAAATCAAGATTTACTTCATTCCAGGAGGCATGAAAGATTCAAGTGAGGAAGATACTGGATACCATGCAAACTACTATTCCTGGAGAAGATATGGATTTGAGATCGACTCCATTCCAGGCGGTATGAAAGATTCAAATGAAGAAGATAGTGGATACTATGCAAATAACATTCCTGGAGCTAGAAGTTCCACCTTTCAAGGGGAACGGACCAAGGTCTTTTATTTGAGCAATGCCAAGGATACACTTTTTGCGTCTTACACTGCACATTTTGAATATTGTCTGGGGGTTCCACCTGGACTGACACGACATTCCAAATGTGTGGTTTGTTATGCACTTATAAGCAGTATACACAAACACAAACGAATTATATATGGTTTTCTTTCTGCATTTTTTTTTCATTAATAGCTGTATATGAGCTGTCTGACTAGATGGAAGTTGTAGAAGCAATGCTTTAGGATTGACGAGTTATGAAGAAATGAAAGGATCACCGTCCTAATTATCTCTCAATTTGTACTTATCATGCTACTCTGGTGTGAACTTACTTTCTTTGTTGCTTCTCTATTGTTGAAATAGGTAACTGTGGGATTGATAGGCTTAGAAGATGGTGCAACCAAGCCAAGGGATCAAACTGAGTTACTGAGGTTGTTCTGAGTTTCCTGGTCAAAGATATTTATTGTCTTGAAGGGTAACTTTTAGAATTTCCGAATTGAAGGAAAAGGGAAACAACACATGGCTGTGGCATCAAATGTTTTGTGCATTAGCACAGAGCAACAGGTGAAAAAAATTGAATGATATGATTTATTGCAATATTACTGGTAGAATATGGGTTCTTGGATCAACAAGCGGTAATATTTAAGAGTATCGATCCTCTGTTTAAATGTGTGTTTATAGAATGTAATGCAAAGTTATTTGTTATAGCATGGCGACAATGCTAAAACATTCGTGGATATGAATATCTATTGAATGCGTGGATATCTCATCCCCTACATTTGGTTGATTTCCATATGATATCTGACAAGGAATTTTTGATTGTCAGATGACTTGAAGGAGGGAAGAGATGATTCCATCATCAAAATGTAATATGGCAATTGATCGCCTGCTGCTGCTTATGCTTAGATTGATTGGCAAATGGCAATTTGGTATACCTTAGATAGAAGCGTCTGAAAATATTACTGTTTCCATTTTTTGGTTGTATATTGATTGTTTTTTGCTGTAAGTAATAGTTACCTACTTACCAAGTTACCATATCCTATAACTTTGATCCTTGTTTTCACAGAGTCCATTTTTTTATTTGCCACTTTGCACTTTGTGACAGGAGGCATCTTCGCTAGATGTCCATGTCCTTCAGTCAGTTGAGGATAAAAGGGCTATTTTCAACATCAGAAACTTGGCTGCTCTTTTTTCTTCTAGGAAGAGTTTGATTTGTTTTATGGGTGTAAATGTGTAATGACCAACAGTTTGGACATGAAGGAATTTTACTTCGAGTCCACACCGAAATGGGTCATAGCAGACGTGGTTGACCGTCACTCGATCCTACATGCAAATACAAAAACCTATTTTATTTTATAAAAATAATTCAAGAAAAAAGGGTTAATTCATATTGAAGTGGGAAGACGCTTTAAAAAGGAAAAATTGCAAATTAATACCTGAACTTTGGGCCCCCCGAACTTTAAAATGTGCTAATTCATTATCTAAATCTCCAAATTGTATCGATTTAGTACCTACCATTAATCATCGTCAATTACATATGACACCATGTGCAACTTTGAACTTTTGAAAATGTTAAAATTATCCTTTGAAATAAAAACACTGTTCATCAAGAAGATGAAATGAATGTATAAATATAATCCTATCTGATTTCCTGCCCAAGTTCTTTCCTAAAGGCTCCTTGTTGGAATCACTTCAAGTATGGAGAACGCATGTTTCGGTGTTGTAACCATGATGTGGGTCATGTGATTGCTGTTGTCGCCAATCGCCATGGCCGCAGGTGGGTTTAGATGGGGTGTGAAGCTCCTCAATGGTTTGGGTTATTCTGATCTGGAGAAACTTATGGGATTGGAGTTTTTCCCCCATCAAAATTCCGTCTCGTCCGGTGAAGGGTAAGATGCCCGAGATTGAATTCGAACACCCTGATTGTGTTGACTGTGTTCTTGTTGTTTTTCCAAATGGAAGAAATGGTGAATTTTCTGTGGATTATAAGGGTCCGAGTTCTTCGTAAAGAACACGTGTGTTGGGACATATTTTATAGAACTGCAGAAGACATGGAGAAGCCTCTAATAGCCGGAGATCAATTTACAGTCCACTGTCCACGGAGTGCATAAATATGAAAAACAGGGGAGGAGTGCAGTTGATAATGGTACAAGATCTGAAATTGAATGGGAGAAGCTGGAGGGCTGCCCTGCTGATCTTCCTCCATATTTGTTGGAGGCGATTTTCAACAGCTTGCCAAGTGTCTTTCATGTCATCAGGTGGGTCACCTCTGTCACCGTTTTTTAGTCCTCTTCGAAACGTTGATTTTTGGACTGGGGAAAATTCTGCTCGAAGAGATCAATCAGATGACATTAACAAATTCAAGAGCATAAAGCCACAAATATGAAAAACATGTGAGCTCTAGGATTATACTGACAACCCGTCAATGACACAAGTAAATTCATCTAGAGTGCTTTCTAATACATCTTGAGTTATCTATAGATTCTTTAATAACAGAAATTCAACTCACATAATTGTGAAATCCCGAAGTGCATTTATCTTGGAACTAGGATTTTATCAAAAATATAAGTTTGCACCCTGTATATTGCCTTCTATTACTGTCAAATAGAATCTTGTTTGACTGCGGCAAAAATAACAGCAACCACAATTGAAGCAGAAAATCCTTTACAGTCGCTGTCTACTTGTTCTTCAAGCCTTTCTTGAAAACACCGCCACTTTTTAGTTTGTAGGGCCTGGCATATTCAATATTAGTTGAGAAACAGAGATGGAGAAAGAGAGAAGAGAGAAGAAGAGACCAAAGGGTATTTGGATGGTTGGTAAAGAAAAATTACATGATACCCAAAAGGCATTTGTATCTTTTCAAATGCCATTTAATAGCTAGTTAATGGTAGGTAGCTAAATTGACACATTTTGAAGATTGAGGACCAAAGTGAGACTAAGCCCAAAATATAGGGTATTAATCTGCAATTTTTCCTTTTCAAGGAGGAAGCTGATCACAGCTCCAACGATAATGAGACTATAAACCCAGGCACCTTGCACTCCACTGAACTCGCCTCACTCTCATGGTAGGGCGCAAAAAAACCCAACTGCCACCTGTCCCTGTCGAACTCAAACAAAAACCCTTGTTGCATTAAATTCTCTATTATTGAGAAGCACGACGGGGTGGTGACAGGTTGCATAGCCAGGCACTCAACGCCGATGAAGTAGTTCCTTGCTAGTGGGGAGAATACCGAGTCACCCTCAGGTTGCAATTGATATCTTTTTCACCTTGTGTGCCACAAGTATCCATTTGTGTGTCATTGGTTTCAACTTGTGTGCCATCATCTATGTAAGGAGATCCATCAACTTTGATGCCATCAAATGCCACAAATGATTGCTTAGTGGTTGCTTGTTTTAAACACATTGTCACTTCTTCTAAAATCTTTTCTCCTAATTGCATAGCTATCTTGTAAGCATCATCATTAGGTGCAGCTTGATTAACTATTTGGGTGAACAAATGAAATAGCTCTTTCTTGTGGATTGCCATTTTTCTAGCTTGGTCCAAATGTCCATGTGATGCTTCACTCCCAGATTTTTTTGCATTGATAGTCCACCTTCTCAATACATGGCATGAGGGCAAAACCTCTACATGTCTATATTCAAGTATTTTCAAAGCATGCCTGCACAAGATTCCAACAAACTCGAAGTTCCTACAACTGCAATTGACTGAATTGTTTCTTGGATCAAAAGTGACCTTATATTGACGGTTCACACCATACAAATGAATTGTATATTCAATTGATGTTTCAGACACAACACACTCATCTTCAATCCTACAATTTAACTGTTGCAATACCTCATTCTGGAATATGGAAAAAATAGGTGGTGTGTACACACGAGAAGCAAAATCTAAAATTGCCATATTTGCTACCATGAATGGAGTGCTTTGTGTTGCTGCAAATTCAGCTTTTGACTCCTCATATTGTTTATCAGCAACTACCCTCTCGAAGTGTTGAAGGAACCTTGACAAGTCATGCTTAATATTGAGGTATTTCTTCAGACAGTTATTCAAACTCTCACTTCTCTGTGTTATGCTCATGCCGGCAGAAAATGTTTGTCGTCCATACACTAAAGCCCATTTGTGCTTTTTATTGTACAATTTTTGCAACCATTCATTCTCCTGAAGTCTATATTTATCAATCATGTTCTTCCATGCACTTTCAAATTCATCAACATCATCATACTCATACACACATCTTTTAAAATCTTGTGAGAATAACTTGAACTTCTCAAAAACACCGCTAAGGTGTTTTGCAGCATTTTGGAACATGTGCCAAACACATAACCGATGATGTGATTTAGGTAATACCAAATTAATTGCTTTTTCTATAGTTGCATCATCATCAGTGAGAATTGTCAGAGGTTGTTTTCCTCCCATTGTTTTGAGAAACACCTCAAATAACCATACAAATGAAGCCATTGTTTCATCATATAATAATGCAGCACCAAAAATTATTGTTTGTCTATAATTATTTACTCCCACAAAAACTGCAAGTGGCCTATTCTCCTTGTTTGTTCTATATGTCGTGTCAAAACTTACCACATCACCAAAATGAAAATAATCCACTATCATTTGTGCATCTGCCCAAAACATATTTGTGACTAACTCAGCTTGGTCAAGTTGTATTGCATAGACAAATGATGGATCCTGAGATTGCCTGTCTTCAAAATACTGCAAAATACCACTTGCCTCCCCCTTCTCCATATTCCGAGTTCGGTGTGAATGCAAATAATTCTTTAAATCAACCGAAGTAAGCCCAACATTTTCATGACCATCAACTTCTCTTTCCATAATTGCTTTTGGAGCTATTCCCACATCATTTGCCATTTTAGCTTGCATGTCATTAACCCTTCTTTGTGATCTCAACATATGTGATTTCATAGGGGTCGCAAACATATGGTTGTGAGTCTCATTGAAACCAATGACACGATAACCATCTTTCACACGACTTATCGTCATAGCTGCCATACAACCACATCTTGTTTCTGGTCGATGAATCTTGGCATTCAAAGATCCATTTGCCTTACGCTTTCCTTCTCTGGAACAACAAAACTTACTATATCTTACTTGATTGGACCGTTTGCATAATGACCTACTTGCTTTCCGAATGCTGAATCCCACTTTTCCAGCATACGTATTATAAAAGTCATATGCCTCCACCACTGTTGGAAATATCATACCAATTTTTGGTGTCCACTTTTCAGGAATGAGACTTAATTTTTCTCTAACCTTATTTTGTATGCTTGTATCAATGCCTACAGTTTCTTTAGATGTAGGCAAATCATCATTCCGATTGGATGGTCCACTTATGTCAAGAGAAGGTTGTACATCATTCGGCTCAAATGTGGTGTTGAGTGAAGGGTTTGCTTTTCCACTTATGCCTTCATCCAATTCAAAGTCTAGTTTCTGCATGGAGTGGGGGATACCATCCATTTACTGTTTCACACATCAAATTTTAACCAATTATTAAACGCAACAACAAAAAGTGATAGAGAAATAAAAATCATCCTTTGAAAATCAAAGTTGCAGAAGTCTAGTTTCCTTTTGCTTATTAATAGGGACAGGTGAAGAAAAAATCCATGATTAAGCATGTTTCTTAGAGGACAACAATTAGTTGATTGGAACAAACTTGCAGAAGGCTATAATGATGATTTGCAGAAATGTAGCTTAGTTCTCAGCAGATCATGTGGACGTTTTTTTATAATTAGGGACTTTTCCTATGGCCCCATGGATAATGTCCATAGTATAAAAGATGCAAGATTATTGGATCCAGATTGAACTTCTTTTCTAGTSTGTTCCAATGTATGCTAATTTGATTGTTGATAATCTTGCAAGGGTTCTTTACTGTTTTCTAGGGGGAGCAAGGATTTTTTCCTCCAAGTAAAGGACACAAGAAGATCTGTATTTTTCTTTGATCATAGATTCCTTCTTAAAGAAAGGATATTGATAATCTAACTACCCTGTTTCAAATGCAGTATAGGCACCAAACAGCAAGGAAACAATGGGGTGGAACCCCTGCAAGACAGAATAAATTGTTCCTCTAAAATAAAATAAGAATAAGATTTGAAGAAAAAAACATTGCAACCGTGCAGAATAGCTTTTCTTTTATTAAATAAAAATAGAGTATAAGTCTTTTTTATGGAATAGGAATCTCTGCCTTTTCAGGCAAGATACCCTATAGAAAACAAATCCCTCCCCAGTTAAGGCAAGACACTCTTGTTTACTTCTTGTAGCATCCCAATGATGCTTCAAGCTGAAATCAGGAAAAAAAAGCCGTTGGCACCTAGCACTCAACAAGCAAGATGCAGCAGGAAAAGATACCCCAAATAAGAAGCCCAGAGAATCTAGATATTGTTTTTTTTTTTTTACTATGAGATTACCTAGGTTTGGACATTCACATTATCATAATGGGTCCAGATTAGCTACATATACATCAGATGGCCTTGAACACATTTCTGCACTAATAAATCGATTGGAAACTCATTCATGGACCTTCATCAATCTTAAGGCCTTGATCAAATGGCCTTGAACCACTACTCTCTTCTCTTACTATTCTCTTCTCTTACACCTAATAGCTGTAATCTATTCTACATTCTACCCTAAACCATTGGACATAAAATCCTACAAAGAATTTAAAAAATTGCTGATGTTAAATTACAAAACTAGAAAAACTAAGGTAAATGGAATAAACCCATCTTTTCTGTTGTTGGAGGGGCCAGCAAGAAATCCTATCCATTTTGTACATTAAAAAAAGACAAAAAAACAAATGCTGGAGCATAGATCTATCCATTTTGTACATTAAAAAAATAATAATAACAAAGACAAAAAACTCACCTGAAACTGATGTTAAATTAAATGGAATAAACCCCTCTTTTCATGGAAGAAGAAGAGATGCAAAGAAATGTTTGTTAAGTCGCCGCCGGGTGGATAGCTACCATCCAAAACGATTAGGGTTAGTTTTTATGGAAGAATAAGAGATGCAAAGAAGACAATACCTGAAGTTGATCCCGCCGCCGGTGATGGCTTTTTGTCGCCAGCGGTAATGGTTGTTAAATCGCCGTCGGGTGGATGGCTGCCATCCAAAACGATTAGGGTTAGTTTTCATGTAAGAAGAAGATATGCAAAGAAAAAGAGATGCAAAGAAGATAATAACTGAGGTTGATCCGTCCGCCGGTGATGATTATTTGTCGCCGGTGGTAATAGATGTTAAGTCGCCGGCGGGTGAATGAGGGGAGAGAGAGAGAGAAGAGAACGAGTGTGTCGTGTGCGACATTCAAGGAGAGGAGAGGAGGGTATTCGAAAATAGGTTTGGCTTAACCAACGGCGTGAAGCATCCTCGCATGCTTCAACCGTTTACACGAATTGGAGGACACGTGGCGCATCCCTCACTGTGGATGCCTGGACTGAAGCCACGAGAGAGAGAAAACGCTTGTATGTAATGGAGTGAAGCTCATCATTTGCTTCCTCGTAATGGGTTGCGTTTCTCCGATCAAAAGATAGCTCGTCGGAGGCGGAGATATCGTATAATCCATGAGACAGTAAGAGAACTTGTAGCCGAACCGCTTACCCACTTGGGAGGAGAAGGAGGTGGGCCCTCGCCCAAGTCCCATAACTGCATGGGCGCCATTGAAGCTTGCACCTGAAACACTCGGACCAGAGAGGTGAAATCCACAACCAAAAGCGAGCTTTTTCAGTCGAGCAACTCGTCCAAAGCTCGTGTTCAACGTCACCGTCTCCTTGGAGAAAACCCACTTATTCTAGACTCATCTGCGTAGGAGTAATCGTAGCGGCAAGTACTGTGATGGAGAGTATGGTTGCAGCGGGCTGGTGTTTAACAGGGTGAGGGACGAGTTGACACGCTAGGTCATACCAATGAATCAGAGCAAATGTCATCGAATGGCGGGTCAGAAAGGCCGAGCCTGGAGTGTGTTAAGTACAGTTCCGACAAGCAGAGCACTTGACCCAGACGAGATAGCTATCTGTATTGGCCGGAGCTTCCCTCCTGAATCCTGATTCAAAGTTGAAGCAACAAATTTGGCAGGGCGAGTGCCCATTGCCCAAATCGGAAGGAGCAGGGGTATTTATCACCGTCGCTCTGCTCTTCTTCTCAAGATTGAGGACAATGAACAGTTCACAGAAGGGGCCATTGCTAGCATCGCTACTTCTGTGGAAGGGCCATTTGCTGCCGTACTAGAGGTGGTGGCTACTGGTTAGGGGTTCTTACACATTAATGAATTGATTCTTGTTTGTTTCTTTTCTTCTCTTTTTTTAGGAGAAGAAGAAAAGATTATTAAGCTTATAATAAATAATAATTCCGTTGCCGGACTCGAACCCGAGTCCCAAAAGCTTACATTGCAAAGAGACGGTCTTCGTTTTTTTTGTTCGTCCCTCAGAGTTTCTTTCGTTAATGCCTACCACTTTCACTCCTCTCTCAGTCGGATGAATGGAAAACTGTTGATGGTGTAACTGAGGTGAGAGGAGGAGGTGACCCAATAATTGAATTAATCTAACAATGAATCGGACCAAGGATGACACAAGGTGCAATAGTAGTTGATATTACTGAATTGAGAAAGTTTATGATATCATGCAAAGACGTATTGATAAACTGTTATTTTAGGCATTGAAGTCCAAACTCAAGAAATGCAAGTTAAATTTATTGAATGAAGTCCTGGTAGTATTCAAGTAGAGGCTGGCCCAACGCACCAAGGTTTTATTACAGTACTGAGGAGTATTTTTTTTTTTTTTTTTTAAGGAAAAAGATGGGTCGTAAAGCTGAAGAAGAACAAGAGGCAGCCACTTAACCAGATCCAGTCCTTAGATATTCAAGGATCTTGGGTCATGACAATCTTTGAGGAACATAAGCCCTCATTGTCTTTTATCCTCAAATCATTCCTAAACCAAGCAATGGCAGCCCCAAAACCATTTCTATACAACTTTGGAGAAGAGTGTTTGTTGAGGTTCTGACAAACCCAAGATAAGATAACGATTGGCAAGTGGAGAAATACGAAACAAAATACAAAAACAAAGCACACGAAATCAACCCACCAGACTCACTAGTCACAAGCGACTGGTGTTAATTGATATTTGGGTCTGGTGAGACCGAAGAGAAGAGATTCAAGTAGAATTAAATTAGTGAGGTTGGAGTGCGACACGGAAATAAAATAATCAGGGATCTTGGTGTCCCTCTAAGTCTAACTAGGCTGACCTTACCATCGATCCTAACATTTTGCAAAATTCTGATGTTATCTCTCTTAAGAGTGTCAGTTAAACCGGTTTTATGTTCACTTAAGCCTTAGTTTGACATGCACTAAAATGTTTTAATCAGTTTGCAGTCTTATTTTTTCATTAAATTGCAGTTTGCCCCCTGATAGGAAAATCACTTATGGCTTCTGTATCTGTATATTATTTTCTTTTGGCTGCAGGGGAAATTTGGGTTGTGTTCAGGAGCCTATTGAATCTGAACTGGGAACTTATTTCAAGGCTATTTCTTTTGCAAAGGCCCAAGGATGGAATTCTGTACTCTGTAGTGGTTTACGTAGACTCATAGATAGCGATTAAGACTCTTCAAGGGAGTGAAACTTTACTAACCCTGGAAATTTGCTAGAAATATAAATAGGATTTTGTCTTTAGTTAAGACTTTCAGTTTGGTAAAATAAAATTTGTATATAAATCTAGATCGTTGACTAAAGCTGCTCATGTTTTAGCGCTAAATGATGCTTGTTAGTTGTTACTGGTGGCATAAGCCGCCGGTCTAGCTTGAACCGGCTTCCCTCAGGGCAAGCCCGTGCCCACACCATTCCATGAAATAAAGCATATAAGCAGGGAGATATTCTCAATGCAAGGCTATAAAGGCTTGAACGGACTTTGCCCTGACTGAAGCGAATTCAGCTTGAACCTTATATTTGTATTTTTCTTTCTTTGTTAATGTGCATTCTTAATTATCAAAAAAAAAAAAAAATCAGTGACAAGTCACAAGTGACGGAGACTTCTCTGTTAGAACGAAGACTACACACTGCATAGAAGCCCATATGTTTTTCTCCCCTGTTTAGAGGGAATGGCGAGCAGGCCCATAGCATGGATACATGCATCAGTTGAATGATGTGTATGATTTTTGATTTATGCAAGCAGTTGAGATGTACATGAGGAACAAAGATAAAAGAAAACGTATTGATCACTCAACACTCAACAAAACAGAATGATGCGTTTCCCACGCTCAACAGTTGGTAAGAACTCCAGTCATGGTCATGGGGGCCACACTCCAACGAGCATCAACGAAATACAACATCATTGACTCTCCAGAAGCAAAAGATACTTTCATCACCTCCCTGTAGCTGTAGGTATCAAAATATGGTGACTGTTCCAGGTACGAAACTGCAAACTGAATGGATATAACTAAGAATATATATGAATAAAAATGTAAAGTTCATAACGATGAATGTACATAACGAATGGCTTGGGAAGCATTGCTGTTGCTGGCATTGAAACATTGTGCAACCCCATCTGTCATTGTCAATTAAACATATGGTTTTTAGGTGCTACAATTTTCAAATGTCTACTTAAAGGTTGTATAAAAACCACCACAGATGGCTTTTGATTCAAAACTTTCAGCTTGCTTGATGTTTTGCTAGCTATTCTTTCTCTTATTCTACATATCTTGCCTGATGTCAACTCAAGTATATCCCAGTTAAAGGGGAAGCAGCCTTATCCATGGTCGAACTCACTCAAACCTTGTGACTCTAGGTAATCTGATTATTTGACCTATCTGCTTATATCACATAATGGTAATTGAAGCGTGAGAATATCAATTATTCTGTATCTACTATTAAAAGGGAAAAAATGGAAAATGGAAGATCTCATTATTCAAGAATCTTGTAGTCATTCTATTCATAGAAGGAAATATAATTTAAGGTAAAAAAGTAAGAATTAATAAATGCTAAAAAACAATTCATGAAGCCCAGTTGGTAAGAAGATACATATGTAGAAACAACTATGTCAGTGATGTTATAGTTCTTGCTGAAAGTCAATGCAAGAGTAAAAAAGGAGCAGGCGTGACATGAGTCTGATGCAATTCCTCCATCAGTTTCTATCCAACGTGCTCTTCAAGCTAAGCTATGAGGAACTTTCCCTCCAATGAACTTCAAACATCCATCCATGAATTCCTTGAGCAACTTTCAAGTCACAGCATGACAGCACCAAGCCTACTTTGGCAAAAAATTGTCATGTATGTCCAATCACTTCCAACATCAGAACCAAATCACCATGTGACTTGTATCTGCCTCAATTTTTTTTATTATTATCATTAACATGATCAAAGAGATTTTGTTCATGATGAATAGAAAAGAAAATAAAGCTGGACCCCCACATCTGGATGCTAATCAAGAAGGAACAAGTAAGAATCACTGACAAGCAAAAACAGGGGAAAAAACAATGCTATCTCTTAAATGAGGTATGCTAACTAACCAAGTTGTTAGACCCATAGCACAGCCGCTCCAACCTCCCTCTCTTGCTAGACATTTTCTGCTGTATTTACAAATCTAGAGATCCATATGAACAAACTATTCAGATTGGACGTGAGGGCATCCAACTCAGCATTGCCTTTAAATCACCTTCCACCAAAGGTCCCTGAAATCTAAGGAGAAAAATAAGGGTCCATGTAATAATGAGAGGATTTGAGTTTTTAAGAATCCCCCTCGATAATATGGCCTAAATACACAAAGAAAATCAGCTAATTTGCTCCTATAAACAAAGTGATGTAGCATTAAAGCAATTAAAAATTGTTCTGGATCCGTTTTCTAGTCCAGATTAGAATTTGTAAAGGGACTTCTGAGTTCCATGAATCTATAAATAGTCATTGCAATTGCAATTATGGAGAGTTTATTTGATGAAGTAAAGTTTGGTATATTGCACTCTGGTTGTTCCTCTCTCTCTCTCTCTCTCCACCCCACAAAACCCACCAAAATATCTTAAATTAGTAGGATCCCTACCCCGCTCTACGTCACAGAGTGTCATCCTAAACAGTTTTTTTATTGGTAACATCTCAGATTGCACTTAAAGAATTTAAGAATGATATAGTACAAGAGGGAGTAGTGCCATGCACCCCCAAGACACATTTAGGCTAGCCCTTGCTGTCTAACCCAAGTTTGTTCACTTTACCATTAAATTACACTTGATCATCACTCAGTTCTTCCCCTCCCCAGCTCTTGTATCTCTTTCATCACATTCCAATACTGCCACGTGACCAACCCAAAACTTTTAAGACATTGAAGGCTCTCACAACCGCACACATTGTCATGGATTGTGTCTCCATGATCATCCTTATTCCTTTCTTATATGGTTTTCAATCTACTTTCCTAATGTACCATTGAACACTAGATCACTAGGAAGTGACCCCTCATATGGCATGCAAGAAACAAGACAGTCCCATGTTTCTATAAGTTGCTTCAACAAACATATCATCCACTCTCACTTATCAAAGAGCTTTAGAAGATAATGATTTCAAATCACAAACTACAATTATGGTGCCTACAACAAGCGCTTTTTTCCCTTGATAGGTTATATTAGATAAGCTCCTAAATACCGTTGAATTTTGCAACAAACAAAAATATTTAAGTACTCAATTGACTAGGAGCAAGGACTCTTGGTTGATGTTGCCCAATGATATCTACCATGCCCCCTCCCCCACCCCCAAAAAACAAGAAAAGAAAAAACGGAACAATGTTCAGACATCCCAGCTGCACAAATTAGCCCACATAATTGCATATTGAAGGATACCAAAAATTCAGAAGGCCAATACCCCATTCTCCATCCATGTCACACATGGCACAAGTTCAGGGGGACTGGGAAGCAGAAGCCTGAAATCCAACCGCTCCTGCCAAAATTAAACCAGGATGATACAAATGACCTGATGTCCAAACATGTATCATGTATGAGGAACTATTCATAGGAAAAAAGAAACTTTCAACCAGATTATTTAAACAGTGTTTGACTGTATCACCATGATCATCATCCATGCCTTATCGCAACTCTATGGGTCCACTACATGAATCCTGTTTTGCCAATCCATTCCATTTAAAGCCATATATCCACTTGTTAATTATTAGTGATTAAATCATTTCTTACTACTTCTACCCATGTCCTTTTTGGTCTACCCCTATCTCTCATTTTATAAACATGTTGTTTCTTGACTGTTCAACACTCTCCTCCATACAACATAGCTGGCCTTACAACTGTTTTGTAGAATTTTTAAGCAGTATTCTCTTATCACACAAAAGTCCTAATCTAAGTGGTATTCTCTTACCATACAAAAGTCCAGATGCACCCCTCCATTTTGCCCAACCTGCATGAGAAACAAAAAAGGGAGGACAAAGAAAGAAATCAAAAGGAATCTTTTCTTAAATTTCACAACCAGGAGGAGTTCCAGTACTCCTTTTAGTGATGTTGGATGCACCTGATTTGCAATCAATGAATCGTAACTGTAATTTAGAAAAAGAAAATGTACCATTTGTATTCTCTGATATTGGTTTGGGCAAGAAAACTTGAACTGAAACTTGGGAAAACTTATTCCCCCAGTCAGAGAACATGAGACTGGCCTGCAAGCTTTCTTGGCCAATCAAACAACCTCAAATTAATTTTCTGTAGAAAACTTTTTTCTAGATTCACAATTTTTCCTTTATTTTCTAGGCAACTAAACATGACCTTAGTTTCATTTCCTAGACAGCTCTCCCTTCCACCCAAAAAAAGAAAAAAAAAAAAAAACCATCCAAATGTGTATTATGGCAAAAGCAGAACAGACAACTTCTTCCAAATTGCTCAACCCAGTAAGGGAAAAGAAAAGACCTACCATGCAGGAAGTTTTAAAATGAGTCCAAGACATGTTATGGGTACATAATTGACAATGTTGTAAGATGCCTGTAACAGTACAGAAGTCATGTCTGAAACCATCAAAATTTTGTAATAAAGTAATCCAACCACCCATCTCCATTTTCACTCTTGCTGATTAAGAGTGATAGTTGACACCTCATGGCTAGAATTCTTTAACAGAGAATGAGAGGAATCAGCCTGAAAGATCAAATGGATACTCATAGGAAAAAAATGAACTCCATGCTACAAAATTGAATAATTCACGTCACTCTATCATACTAAAACTAATACAAAAAAACTATCTTCCTTTGGATCTTTGTATGCCTATTATGAATTAGTTTGCTCTATAAGCATTTCAATATATTCTGTTTTCTATGGTATACTGATTTTAATTTGAAGACACCAAGCATTAAGAACAATGTAGCTGGGTTGGTGTTTCCCCAGCTGGAACTGGAAGTGTGGTAAATGTTTAGTGGGTCCTCAGGTTGTTGTTGGGTTCACCTGATATTAGAGCTCAAAAGGCAGCAAGTTTGAACTCTCAATGAATCATCTAGAAATAGGAAGAAATTGAGTTTCTGAGTAATCAGCTATGAGATTATTGAAATTTAAAGGCATATTCTTCTCAAGTTTACTTACTCATGATATAATATTGTGATTTATAATTTCCCATGTAATATACCTGTAGTATTGGAATTATTTCATGACAGTAGAGTTGAATCTCATAGGTCAGTAATAGTAGTGCCATGAAATTGGAGCCAGATGTTCCTAATCTTATGTTCTTAATTTCATTATTAATCATGAAAATCAATAATATCAGATATTATGGAGCTTGTAAGTTTTTCAAACAGCATACACTCACTGCTTAGTATAGTGAATTCATAGTGATTCAAAACTTTGCTTTCACATGTCAAAGGTTTGTGGGAAATCAATGACCTTGCAAAATTAGAGGCAAATAATACTGTTGATCAGCCTCAGAAACTATATTTCCATACCAAATAGCCCAAGTCACTCAAAAACAATGTGGATAGATTAAATTAACTTTGTCTTCAGCAGTATCTGTCACATCTATTTTTACTTCTCCACTTGACCACATTTGGTCAAAAAGCGCATCATGCATTGTTAGTGTGTTTTCCTCTGAGCAGTCACTTAATTGATTCCATTGCCTGCTACTTTGCACTATGCCAATTTTATTTTCAAATCCTTAAGGTGGATATACCAGTGATTAGAAAAAAGAAAAAAAAAATAGAAGCACCAAAGTCTCAGAATGGAACAAGACCCCAATTATGGAATTATAGAAAAATAGTATACACAAGAATGATTTTTTTCTTACACTTAACCATGGACAAAATAAAAGAAAAAAGGACAAAATAAATAATTACTTCAGAGAGAATTCTGAGCTGCTGCTTCAAAGGATATTTATTATACATGGGCACAAGCTGATGATAAAACACATCTATAACCTATATTTCACACTGAACAATTACAGCAGTTTTGTGGGATATCACAAAGTTTTCAATCACTTCATACAGACTAGCTATGAATCATTTCTGGAGGAGCTTTTGGAATGCAAACTAAAGAACAAGCACTTATCTCTTGTGGCTTCAGACTCACTTCCATACTCTTTAAATCTGTATTCTTCCTGCTTTAAGGATGATGGAACCTTTCCTTCACTGTAGCATTCATTACAGAGGTTGAAACGCAATTTCATTTCCTTGAAGCGGGAGCCAATAATGGGGTATCGGCAAACAGTGCATGTATGGTGACCATGGCGGGTCCTGTCACCATTTTCAAGCTTCACCAGAGTGGCCATGATTCCAAAACCCCATTCTGGATCATCAAACATCTGAAGGAACTCAGGAAAAGAGATCATTGAAACATCTGCTTCTCCATGGATTTCCAGCATTTCACTGACCCCATGGGATGGTATATAGATGGCCCTCAACAACTTGATATATCTCATAGCATCAGCTTTCTTAATCTGAGCACTACCTTCATTCACTGGTCGCCATAAAAGTGCATCAAATACAACCCGTTTACGCTTGTCAGGAGGACCACTACAAATGGGAGCAAGCACAGCATAGAAAATACCCAAATCGACCCTACCTGAGCCTGAAACATCCATGACAGACAGAACCCTCTCATTGATGGCTTTTACAGATCCTTGGAAAGTCTCTGGCTTCAGAAAATTAAGCAATTTGCGAAGAATCCCCTCCAGTGCAGCTTTGCGGATGGACTTTTCAGGAGCACCACCACCAGAATAGGATACTGGTACCTCTGTTTCATTCATTTCCTTCTTCAGATTATCCACATTGCAACGAATCAACCTGGTGAGCCTTTGGAAAGCCCTGATTTCAAGAGCATTGGCCAAGTCCTGCCTCAGCGTAGTCTTCTGGCCTACTCCCTTAAATTTTGATGGTTCCACAACAAGAAAAGTACCCTCTCCTTCAGCACCCCCATTGCCCTTCAGCTTCTTTTTTTGCAGCTGCTTCAAATGAGCGATTGCATCGTGCAATTCAACCCTGTTAGTCATCTTGAAAGCCTCCTTTAGGGCTTTCTTGGCTTCCTCAGCCTCTCCAGCCCCCAATAAGGATACAGCTTTGTTGAGCTGCGCCTGCCAATGGTTAGGCCATACAGCTAGTACCCTGGTATACATCTCCGAGGCCCTGTGGAACCTGCCCATATCCATATAAAGCCCACCCAAATTGTACAGAGCATCCAAATGCCCTGGTTTCAAATCAATGGCCTTTTGAAACTCCTGAATTGCTTTCTCATCCTCTCCCATCGCATGCAATGCAGAACCCAGATCGCAATGTGCATCAGCATAATCTGGTTTCAAGAATATAGCCTCTTCCAATGCCTTCTCAGCGGCCCTATGCTCTCCTACCCCAAAAAGCGCACTACCCAGAAGCTTCAGAGCTCTAAAATGTGTCGGACAAAGAATGGCAGCCTCTCTATAATGCTCGCAAGCACTTAAAACCATGCCTTCCCCCTCGAGACAAATTCCTAGATTAACATGAATTTGAGGGAGAAGATTAGCCCATTGGTTTCCACCCACTTCGGCAGCATCAAGAGCCAACAAGAATTCCTCTTTGGCCTCCCCATACCTGCCAGTAGCATAAAGACAATTCCCAGCCCTGAAATGCGACTTCACATCAGTCGGTTGAAGCTCGCAAGCCCGCTTGAAATCTACCAAAGACTCCTTAAACAGCTGGTGCTCGTAGAGGACCCGACCTATCGCCATGTGCCTGTCGAAAGCTTCTTCCCTCGACCTGGCCCCATCCGCTTTGCTTCTCAAGGTCGCCAATTCCCTAGCGAATGCAGCATAATCGTGCCCAGACTCATCCCACGAGACTTTCTTCTCCGAAAGCTCCGAAGAGGGTCCCAATTCCCTAGACCAACCGGGGTCGGAGCATACATCAGAATTCTCCCCCTTCATCTTCCCATCCTTGGCCTGCTTCGCTTTCAACCTTTTTATCAGAGTCTCCAAATCATCGACAATCTTCCAAGTATAATCAAAGACGATTCCGTGATTTGGAGACGTTGCCCATGCAGCAGTCCTTTGCTTCTTGTTTGACTCCACCATCCGCTCATCGGCAATTGAAGAGGAAGAGGCCTCAGAAGCCCGGGAAGCTTTACCAACGTCATTATTGAGGTCCAAACCCAGGGCATCAAAGTCGCGATCAACATCACCAGCACCATCGTCGTAGGTCCGAAGAAGACCTTCATAGGAGAGACCCTTTTCGCCGTTAATGAAGTCCCCGTAGGTTTTGAAGACCTCGTCAAGGATTGCATTGATCTGATCGTCGCTGAACTTAACCCTAGGGTTTACTGCGACGACGAGAAACGACATTTCTTGCCTACTGAGACATCCGTCTTTATTCATGTCGAATTGCTGGAAAATTCTTTTAACCTTCTCTGCTCTGGAACCCCTTGAATCCATTTTTAGGTGTTTTTGTTCCTATTGGTTGGAGCTCTCTGCTTTGTTTTCTTGAGAATAACAGCGAAGAGAAGATGAAGAAAGACAAATAAGATGAGAAAGCTTTATGGGTCTTGCTCTAAAGGAGAAAAGCTTAATGGATTTCTCTTTCAGCGTCAGAAATCCAAAACCGATTTGATACTCTCTCTAATATGTTCTAATATGTTATTAGTGTCGTCAGTTTTCTTTCCGGGGGGGTG